AGTACTCTTGATGAATCAGTACCACTCAAATTTAACAGGTAAGGTCGTTCTTTCTTCCGCCTCAAATAATTTAGAGAAGACTTCTGCTCTGGGAACAAATTGTTTGCTGATTCTTTGATAGTTAAACGTTGCACTAGAAACAAACAATAAATTTGCTTTAGCGACAGTAATCCAACTGAATCCAATTTAAAAACACAGAGCTAAATATAAGCCATTTAATAATCAACTATAAACATGCATTAAAACAAACACATGCACACTACCAAAACAAAGCATTCCATAATTATTTTTTCTATCATCAGACATAATCAAGATTAGGGACAGAAGCCAGTAGAGTGTTCAGTGGTGCTAATTCATGCTATATCACAACATCCCCAAATAAATTTCCAATGTTGATTAACTTTCTGTGCAAGTTAATTATTATCTAGATGTAATTCAAACAGTAGCTAAGCTGGTAGCTTCTTCTAAATTAAAAGCTACAGCAAAAAGCAGGCAAGGCATGTTGGAGTACAAACGAAACAAAAGTTCCTTCATCTGCAAACATCTAAATGAGGCCAAGGCATCTAAAGTGCTCACTCTAAAAGTTCTAACCTTTGTGTTTTTTTGCAATTCTATTAGCAGCAGTGTCATAATTTACTTTAAGCAGCCCAAATTTCACTTTGATAAAATGAACGAAATCTAGACTTGTCCACTTGTTACCTGAGCTTGAGTATACGGCATTAGCTACTAAGAGTCTTCATTTATTGCCTGAAAATAGTACAGATATTTTATTTTCCCATTCTGGTTAGGAATCTAACAATCTCAAATAACATTCCTCATATTAAGACTATTTCCCCTATGAGTATGCAACGAAGAGCAGCCTGTGCTCGCCACAACTAGAGAAAGCCTGCGTGCAGCAACAAAGACCCAACACAGACAAAAACAAACAAATAAATTAAATAAATAAATTTTATAAAAAAGATAAGCATTCTCTAAGTATTCTCTAAGAATCCCTTTTTGTTCATTCATTTATTCGCAACGAAGAGCAGCCTGTGCTCGCCACAACTAGAGAAAGCCTGCGTGCAGCAACAAAGACCCAACACAGACAAAAACAAATAAATTAAATAAATAAATTTTATAAAAAAGATAAGCATTCTCTAAGTATTCTCTAAGAATCCCTTTTTGTTCATTCATTTATTAATAATTAACTGAACATCTTCTATGTTAAAAGTCCTAGGCTTATGGCAATGAACTAAATATACAAGATCCCTACTGCCACGGAAATTACATTCAAGAAGGGTGGACACAGATAATAATCAAATAAACAAGGTAATTTCAGATATTGATACACGTCTTGATAAAAATAAGGCAGGAAACATTTTCCAAAGTTATAAATGTCTATAGTTTAATCATTTAAGAGCCTATTTTGTACTTGTTACAAGAAACAGAAATCTCCATCTTCTTCCTCCCCCAATTCTCAAAGCAGTTACTGATTGGGTTGACATTTAAGCAGAGATGTGAGATGACAAAAAAGCCACCCAAGTAAGATCTAGATAAGGAGCTTTCCAGACACTGGGAATGGCAAGTGCAAAGATCCTAAGACAGAAATGAGGTCTGCAGTATTGCTGAAGCACAGAGAGCAAGAGGAAAAGCCCAGGAAAGGATGTGGTTTATCTTTTTTAAAGATTACTTTAGCTTCAATAGATGGAATGGATTGTGGTTGTGGAGAGCGGAGAGCGATAGTAAAGAGATGAAATAGGAAGCGATTGAGAGATGATGGTGGCTTGGACTAGGGTGTTAGTAGTGACAATCTTAAGTGCACAGTTTCAGGAGATATCGTAGTCAGAACTGCTGACAGGTTGTGTATAAGGGGTAAGAGAAAGACTCCAAGTTTGGGGCAACAGGGCGAGATGAAGCCTAGGGAACTGTTGTGGACATTTGTCACTGCTCAGCATCTAAATCTCTTTTATTTTCATAGAATTTACCTTTGTGTAAGTTTCAGAGAAACGATGCTGACTAATTGCTGTCTGACTCCTGGAAGCTGGGGCACAATCTGATGTTTTTGTCACAGACTTTGAATCAGGAATGATAGCACTTCAATGTTTAATCACGTATGAGCCTTACTGAATTCAAAGTGAACACTGGACAGGGAAAAGAGAAAAGGGCATTCCTCTTTGTACCAGATTCCTCAGGTCAGCAAGACCCAAATTAGGACTTTCTGTTGATTATTAAACATACTACAACTTTATCACTATCCAAGTAGCTAAAAATTGATGTTTTAAAGTTATAAAATCCTAAGCCTCAAAGTCATTCTGTGGTTTGGAACTAAATTCTTTCCAGGAACCGTATTACTCCCAAACCTGTTTCTTTAGGATCCCTAATATAAAGCTGCACAATCTGAAAATTTCCAAAGACAGTTATGATGTGGGACTTTGCTTAGATATATATGAAGTCTTCTTGCTTTTTTATTCTTGAAGTGACTCTATGGGCATCATCACCAGGTACAGAAGCATTAGTACTTATAGTTAACAGGACTTTATAAGGCATTTCCATAACCACTGTACTAATAATAGCAACATACATTACAAGGAACTAATTTAAAAAAATACAGTAGAGTCATGTCAGTCCCATTTGATAGTGACTCCATCCTTCAGTTGCTCAGGTCTTACTCTTTTCTCTCACAGTGCACTGGCAGGTTTCTTTGGCTCCTACTTCAAAAAGTATTGAAAATACAATCACTTCTATTGTTTCCTCCCTGGTCTGAATCACCTTCTTTCTTGCCTGGATTACTGCAAAGCTGGAGGCTAGAAGATAATACAGAGATGTCTTCAAAGTTTTAAAGGTAAATGAGTCTGAACCTGGAACTGCAAGTCCAATCAAAGTGAAGTATGGGGAAGAAATAAAGGCCTTGTCAGACAGGTAAGGACTCAAAGTTTATCTCCCATGCGCCCTGTTTTGGGAGGTTTGTGTGTGTGTGGGGGGGGGGGTTACTTATAAATATACTTCAGCAAACAAAACAAAAAAAAATGAAAACAAGAAAGAATAGGAGGGACTTCCCTGGAGGTCCAGTGGGTAAGACTACACACTTCCACGGCAGGGGGCACGGGTTCGATCCCTGGTCGGTGAACTAAGATCCCACATGACACGTGGCAAGGCCAAAAGAAAAAAAAAAGTCACGAAACAATAGGAAACAAAAAAAGTAGCACATAGGACTGCAAAGAAAATACATCCCAAGATAACAGCTAAAAATCACTTTGCCCAAGTGTGATAAAGCTGATTAAGAAGCTTAAAATGATCTCAGGGTTTATAGTAAAGAAAATATTTTTCTTCTGTCAAAGAAAATAAAGGCAATAATACACTTCAGGATGAGAGCTAAAAGCACTCTGAACAAATTTGGTAATTCAATGATAAAGCAAGTATTATAGTAAAGGAAGTATTTTTCTTCTGTCCCAAAAAAAAAGGTAATTTCTTACTCCAGGAAAAATTAAAGTTTTCAAAAGCCATGACCCAATTATGAAGCAAGTAACACACAGTATGATTTGGAGAAATTGATGGCTATAAGGTAAAATAATCCATTTGACCTTTAGTTTGTATTCTGCTTAAATCAGTATATAGACTTAAGAATATAAGATTAGAGATATTGTAGAATCACCTGGTTTACCCATTAATATTTCTGCACAATCTAGCACAACTGCTAGTTATTGATTTATAGTTTTTAGCATCAATATATAAAGGAAAAACATACGTCAAGTATAGTTCCCCAAAACAATACACATCTATTAATGATTGATTATATAAACTAATAGTATAACTTATGGAAGTTGAAGGTAAAGGGCAGTAATGACTTGGAAAGTAAGTACAGGGTTGGTCATTTCCACAATGGTATGGAGTCAAGAGATACTGTTTAAAACTGATGGATCAAGGAATAACAAAGTTATAGAGGAAACCAAAAGGAAAACTAAAAGAATAAATGGGGAGGAGGAATGGAGTGAGATAAATTGCTTATTACTCATAATGGACAACCAACAGATATCGCTTAAATGACAAATCAAGAAACAGCAGCAGTAAACCTAGAGTAACAGAGGAAGCTACCTAAAGAATAAAAAGTGATTGTTTCCTCTGAGAAGTGGGATTGATGTGGATTTCAGAGAGGAACACTTTTAGTTTTTATTTTCCATCTACCTGAATTTTTTAAAATTTTTGTTCAGGTACATGCACTAAAACTAAAATTGTTTTTAATCCTAAAAACCATTAGGGCTGGCAGGCTTAGTCGGAAATGAGAGTTGACTGTCTAACAGTACAGGAAGATCCCACGAGATTACAAAAAGGAGGTATAGAAGCTCAAAATAGATTTGAAGTAAAAGACCATATTAAATAAAGGCATCTACCTATTGAGCACTTCTGAATACAGCAGAGTCAATAAAAGAGGTTTATTGGGCTTCCCTGGTGGCGCAGTGGTTAAGAATCCGCCTGCCAATGCAGGGGACACAGGTTCCAGCCCTGGCCCGGGAAGATCCCACATGCTGCGGAGAAACTAAGCCCATGCGCCACAACTACTGAGACTGAGCTCTAGAGCCCACAAGCCACAGCCACTGAGCCCACGTGCCACAACTACTGAAGCCCACGTGCCTAGAGCCCGTGCTCTGCAACAAGAGAAGCCACAATGAGAAGCCCGCACACAACAATGAAGACCCAACACGGCCAAAAATAAATAAATTAATTAATTAATTTAAAAAATAAAAAAAAAAGAGGTTTATTATGACAGTGATTTAAACAACAATGTTTAGTATTTTCTACTTAAGATGGCAGAGATTAACTTTAAAACTATTCCCATTCAAAATAATGTAACAAAATAAGTGTGGCCCTTAAAGTACTGCAGATTCTGGAAAACTCAATTTTGGACAAAAAAAAGTTATTACATATTTTTATGGATAATATATGATGGTCCAATACTTTAATATGTTTGCTTTAAAAGAATGACTTTAAAATAAGTGACCCTTAAAAATCATTATAATAATTAATAGCATGACACCAAGGTTATATATTTTAATAAAGCTTTTACATTTCTGGAACAACTGAGTAATTCATACAATATACATGATATAGCAAACAAAAGGAAGAAGACTGACACAGTCTTCTTACAAAATATTTAGGTACATTTCTATTGACTGTTTACTCAATATATATATATCTGTCACATATTCTTTTGGGATTCTTCTGAATTGTTATACAAAGCTTTAAAAATGAAAATTTCATATAAAAATAGTTATTTATCTGGTTTTTTAACAAGTAAATTTTCAAATTAAATAACAAGGTGTTCCACTTATCAATGTATATTGCATAGAAATAGTTAAATACTTTAATATTTAGAAAAACATCAAGGAGTCAGTTTTTTTAATGGCTGCTACATCTTTAAGTTGATAACTCAAATTTTATTAATAATTTTAAATTACACATTCTGTAGGTATAAAAGTTTAAAAAAATACATTCCGATTTAATAAAAAACTTCTAAATTTACATTTTCAAACACTGCTGTGATTGCTATAATGACTATCTTGAAGATATAATTAGCCAAAATAAGTTAATTTTTAAAAATCAATAACATGTAGTATGCTGGCAAGATTTCTTTAGAAACAAATGAAGGTAATTATAAAGTCAAAGTTATATATGTATTACAAATAAATATGTTCTAAGTATAATTACTTTGTTTTAAAAAGCAGAAGATAAAAACACATAGATTAGGTGAAGAATTTTAAATTTAAGTCACCAGCGCAGAAATCTCGAAACTTAATCCCTTAAAAAATTAGAAGATTTCAATTTAAAGGATGACTTCTCACTGGGGATATTGTGACTTTCTGTGAATCAAAAAAGGAAAGTCTATTTTTTCTATATTTAGATGTTTCTAGTGTTTTGGTTCAAGTGTTTCTATGCAACTCCTCCTTTAACTTAAATGTTATTTCCCTGAAAAGGACATTTTTAAGCTAATGATTTTGGCCTCATGACATATATTTTAAAGATACATGTGATTCTGCAGCCAATCCCTCCCCTCATTCTAATACCTATATATATATGCACTTATAAATATATACATATTTTGGGGATTATAAAAATATTTAATTTTATATTTAAATAATTACTGAATGTTAATACAGAATACATTAATATTTGTATAATTTTACTTTTATTTATAAAAAGGTTTTCTTATAGCAGCATTTGCATTGCAAATGAAATGTGATTGAATGATGTTGCAGTATGCATGGACTCATACTGCAAATCAGACTAAGCAGCCACAGCATTCTTCTAGAAGGAACATCTGTTTCAGAAAAGCAGTTCCTATAAAGTACAAAAATCTTGAGGGGCTAATAACTTATGTGAATCTTAGAAGTGCATTTTAAAGTTATATCCATAGAATTGGCAAGATTTAAACAAATATCCACAAGAAGTCCAGGTTATCTTTTTACCTCAAGAAAAATTTTCTAATGAAATAAGTAAAAATTATGTTAATGAGTGATGTTTTTAATTGAATCACATTAACCTGTTAGAAAGTAACTGAAGCTTTCAAGAGTAAAAAATTTAAAACATCACTGTGAGGGATACAAGAAAGTGACAAAGATTGATGTGAAACTTAAGACATTATTAAAAAAAAAACTCTCAAACCTCAAACACTCATATTAAGCTTGTTTTTGTTGAGTTCACGCTCCAGATTTCCGATCAAAGTATCGATACTTTCTTGTAGGTCTTTGAGATTGACTTTTCGGTCCCTAGACTCAATAGCCTGCATTGTCAAATATGTCTGAAATGTGCACTCTTTGGATGTGGGAGTTGGCTGTTCAATCATGATATCTGGTTCATACATTTTGCTACAGTTTTCTCCATTTTCTCTGTCTTCTGAAGGCACATCGTCATAATCCACATCATTTAAATTTTCTTTCATATTTAAAAAGTAGTTATCTCCACAGCTGCTCCAGTCTCCTGCATAACGATTACTTAGTGGACTGTCTAATCTGGTTTGCCTTGGCCTAAGTACTCTTGATGAATCAGTACCACTCAAATTTAACAGGTAAGGTCGTTCTTTCTTCCGCCTCAAATAATTTAGAGAAGACTTCTGCTCTGGGAACAAATTGTTTGCTGATTCTTTGATAGTTAAACGTTGCACTAGAAACAAACAATAAATTTGCTTTAGCGACAGTAATCCAACTGAATCCAATTTAAAAACACAGAGCTAAATATAAGCCATTTAATAATCAACTATAAACATGCATTAAAACAAACACATGCACACTACCAAAACAAAGCATTCCATAATTATTTTTTCTATCATCAGACATAATCAAGATTAGGGACAGAAGCCAGTAGAGTGTTCAGTGGTGCTAATTCATGCTATATCACAACATCCCCAAATAAATTTCCAATGTTGATTAACTTTCTGTGCAAGTTAATTATTATCTAGATGTAATTCAAACAGTAGCTAAGCTGGTAGCTTCTTCTAAATTAAAAGCTACAGCAAAAAGCAGGCAAGGCATGTTGGAGTACAAACGAAACAAAAGTTCCTTCATCTGCAAACATCTAAATGAGGCCAAGGCATCTAAAGTGCTCACTCTAAAAGTTCTAACCTTTGTGTTTTTTTGCAATTCTATTAGCAGCAGTGTCATAATTTACTTTAAGCAGCCCAAATTTCACTTTGATAAAATGAACGAAATCTAGACTTGTCCACTTGTTACCTGAGCTTGAGTATACGGCATTAGCTACTAAGAGTCTTCATTTATTGCCTGAAAATAGTACAGATATTTTATTTTCCCATTCTGGTTAGGAATCTAACAATCTCAAATAACATTCCTCATATTAAGACTATTTCCCCTATGAGTATGCATTGCACTGGCCAAATATATTACCATGGAGACACATTATTTCACAACAAACCAAGGCTTTACAGCTTATTCTTTTGTGTGTATTGAACAAAACACTTGTCAAATGGACTTAATTTAAATGTTGAGGCACGGCTATTAAAAACTGTCCATAATACCTTTCCCTTTCTGCTTGTTTATACTCCATTAATACTTCCCTTCACTAAGATAAAGGGAACATATAATCAGTGATAACGCACCAACTTTACACTCTCCAACATCTAATAAATACTTGTTTCCTACTGTATAAAATAATTGAAGAATAATACAAACATGTATACGGTTCTAGTTTTCCAGACATACAGTGATTTTATAACATTTTCAGAGATTGCATAATTTTTTAACTTATTTTATTAAAATACTTGATAACTTTGTATAGGTATGTCTTTAACATTTTTGTTTATCTGCATTTTTATGATGGTTATTACAGATCATTATGACAGCTAAAAGCACTTGATCTAAAGTTTTCTAGAAAATAAAGTTCTGATAATTACTTTACCTTGATATTTAATAACAATATTAATATAGAATGTCCTATGCCATTAACTGATGTAATTGCAGAATTGATATCTGAATTTTTCCACTGTTTAATTATTCATATTCCTTCTTCTGTTGAAACTGCTTCTCTCCTCTAAATCTCCTTGCTTTCCTCCCTTCATTTTCTGTGCTTTTCCTGTTCTTCTTAGTGCTTAAGTGTCATGCCTATTGTTTTTGCCAACCCATTACAGTACTCTGCTAACCTTGAGGTCAACTGGTTTGTGATCCAACCAAAGTAAAACATTTTTGATTCTGTGTTAAGCTTGTCTTATTTTGTCTACATTTTCCGACATTCACCTGCAAAGCCCACATTCATTTTACTGTCAGGTGCTTAAAGTTGTTTAACCAAGTTCCTATCCAAACATTATTTTTGTATATTTTCTTGGAAAATATTTAAGAAACAATTATAATATTTTACACCTTTTAGACTAAAACTTCAATTTCTACAAAATCAACTTTACTAGCTTTTTAAACTACTGATGGTGAAATGGTTTCCTATTAAATATGTAGATAAAATGGCTAATTTTAACCCCAAAAGAAAAGTTCTGGTTTTCTTAGCACTGTTGACTACTTACCTTCAACAGGATAAAATGAACATGCAGTCTATAAATTTACTGAAAATTTTTCCAAACATAATGATAATTACTAAGAAACTTTATTTTCTTATCTTGTTTTCTTCCAATAGATTTCTATTTTTAGTCACCACTTTATTAGCTTTTTATCTATAGTATAATTACCTTATTTAACACAATATATTGCGTGTCTAGTTAGTGCCAAGTATTCTGTTAGGACCTGGAAATATAAGGGTAAGCAAAATATAGTCCCTGACCTCATGAAGCTTAGTCTAGTGAGAAAAATGAAACAAAAAGAATTAGGGAAAATTGATAGCTTTTCCAAAAGAAAAATAAAAAGAAAGCCCTATCCCGAATCTATTCATCATAAAATATGTGATACACCAAACAGCTGGTCTAAGAGTTACACACTCTCTAAAGCTATTTCCCCATCTATAAAGTGAAAGGGTAGCCTATCATTAATTTCCAATACTCTTAAAACAGCAACCCTATTTTTAAAAAGCAACTACTTTGTAAAAACCCAGTACATAAGAAAGATGAAAAGAAGACTGTTTTGGTCAAAAGGGAAATATGTTTCCATTTTGCTCCCTCACCTGTTGCCAATCTGGCCTCAAGGCTGCTTCTAAAGAACTTAGGGCTTTGGCAGAAGACAATCTGAAAAGCAATTGGCAGGCTGACTTTTACCTTCCAGTACCAATATGCCAGGGTTCTAACTGATCACTTTGAATGAAGACAGATTTTTCAAGTAGAAAGCTCAAAGAAAATTATATTCTTGCCCAAAATTTAAAAATAACACAGAACAAAATAAAAAGTTAAGGAAGTAAAAAGGCAGGTGGGCAGCAAAGGGTGGAACCAATTCTTTTTACCTCTGGAGTAGGATAAGTTCCAAAAAGAAAAATAAGTAGGATACAGATAGCAAGGGAGCTAAAACCTTCCACTGAATGCATAGAGATGAGCATTCACCAAGTTAATATGGTGTGGCCCAGTCTCTACGTCACCATCAATTTTCTCAGGCTCAGTAAGTGCACTATATCTACTTGATTTCTGCCTCTTGAATCCAAAAGCAAGTGATGTTAGAGGGCAAAACTAACTGCTGTTTCCTCTTATCTTTCTGCCCTGTTCTGTCCTTTGTTTGAGGTATTATAACTAAAGAAAAGAAACAGGTTATAGACGATGGGGCAGTTATTTTTAAATCCAATCACACAAACCTTTGGAATAAGGAACTGTACATTAGGAGACAATTGCTTAAGGTTGTCATTGAAATACTGTACAGTGAATCTCAAGTCTGAACCTGCCCTTTTTCTATAACATACAAGTTAAGTTTTTGCTCCTAAACCCAAGACTAAGATGACTATTACAAACCAATGAAATGATATTAACCACTGGTACAGAATTAATGATAAAGAACTCAGGTACTGATAGTAAACTTAGTATCTCCAGGCAAACAAGTTTTCATTTGTGATTAGAATAAGATGGCTCCTTTCCCAATTCCTCATGTTTATTAAAATTAAAGCAGTTCTAGGAAAGGCTAAGAAACACACATTTAAAACTTGAACCTGAGTGATTTCTTATGTTGGGCACCAAGTGCAGAAATCAGACCAATTAACCAGAGCATCTTCATTCAGGACTTTTAAATAATAAGTAACACATACTAACTCAGGTAAAATATAAATTAGAAATGATTTTTTAAGCCTGTGTTTAAAAGAAGGCAAAAATGTTAACTCTACAAATTTAAAAGTTGAAAATTTTTATTAGCTTAATTTTTAATTCATTTTTTTAAATTAGATTTTTTAAAAGACTAAATCAAGCAATCCTTTGTACTTTGGTATATTCTTCTCATATACATTAATAAAAGAGTAACACAGCACATTTACTGAGGGCTAACTTTATGCTAAACTCTCTGCTCATTTCCTTAGATGCTTTATCTCAATCTTCACAAAAACCCTGAGGTAGGCACTATTTATAGAGAAGCAAACTGAGGCCTAGGAAAACTAGTGTTTGCCTGAGTCCACACTGTTGGTGAGTGCCACAGTCGAATCCGAATCTAAGCCTGACTACAGGGCCCAAGCACTTCTACCACTGTGCACTACAGTAAGCATCTAAGTACCTTCACACTTGGTACTATGCAGGGGAGGGGAGGGAAGCAGGGGCTACTACCATGTAAGAAATGTTTGGAACCTAAATACAGGATCCTTTATAAAACATCTAACTAAATACATATTCCTTTTAGCTCTGAAACTACATAAGAGATGTATTAGAAAAATAACTGTCAGCCTTTTGTTATTGAGTAGAATGGGGATGGATAAGAAAGATGGAAAGATTGCAGGTAATTGTCAGCTCAAGGCTGGATAAGTTGAAGAATGACCATGAATACAGTATAGACATCAGGAGGAAGAACTGATTTAAGGAGAAAAATGAATTCTGCTTTATATCAGTTGAAATAAAAACGAGAAGGGTAAAGAAATTAATATTTTACTGAGTACCTATTATGTGCTAAGAGCTGTGCTGAACACCTTACACACATAATTCTTTATTTAATCCTCCTATAAATTCTATAAACATATTACTAATCCACAGGACAAAAGATGATACTGAGGTTCTATGATGTTAAAGAACTTGTCCAAGGTCAGACTGCTAATAAGTGACACAACCAGGATTCAAATCCAGAGCTGACCAAATCCAGAATGTATACATTGATCTATCTCTACGTCTACAATAGTATCAGCAAAAGCAGAAAATTTTAATGGAGAAATCTAAAGGGCAGGTATCAATTCATAACTATTTTAAAAAGCAAAATCTAGAAAAGATTTTCTTCAATCATACATGGGCATATTTAATGATTAGCTAATTCAAACACCCTATCATTGAAAGAGAAAAATATTTCCATAGAATCATTTACCTGGCCAGAGTTGAAGTAAGTAATGAAGAACTTCAATATGTTTTTTAAAATCCAAAGCACTTGCAAGTTCTTCTGAATCAGTAAAGACTCTGTTGTTATGGCTGGAAGTCTCTTGCCTCTGACTTAATAATACGGGTCCAAAGCACACAGCCAAATTCTGGCAAGTCATCTTATTCACGTCACGATAAGAAGCCACCAATTTCAAATGATCCAACAACATCATTAGGGTTGCCTAAATTGAATTAAATTAAATTTCACTTAACACAGTCACACAGGGGCAAATTCAAGGACACAATTTATACCAGAAAATATAGATGGGCGTACTATCACTTTTTAAAAGGTTGTTTCAAAGATTTGATTGTAAGTTGGATGTTTGGAACTTGAAATATATTTTCTTATAGAAATGTTACACAGGGCCCTTAGGTTTCAGTGACATAATCTGATTCATTAAATGGTTAAAATATACATTCTATAAAGTGCTCATGAATGCATTCCAAATTTCAGCTGGAGTCCCTGGGAAAATATACCATCAACTTTTTCCTCTCTTCCCTCCTCTAAAAAGATAACAGCAAAGGCTACAATGGAAAGGGGATTAGGGTGAGAATGTTTATTTTTAAGTTCAGATAAATCCTGTAGTCATAAGTAGGGACAAACATCCTAAAATCTAGGGAGCCAACCATGGCTAGGTTCTATTGTGATCCAGTTAGGAAAAAGGTCAATGCGCTTCTTAGCTAATAAATATTTTAAGTAGACAAACCATGGAAAAGGGAAGAATAGTATAATTAGAAATGAAAAAAAAATTGATTGAAAAATATTTTTTTAAATCCTTGAAAAAACTAGTAAGGGGAGTTTGTTCAAGAAGTTAGAATGGTTATTTAGGTTTAAGCAGTTATGGAAAGGAATGATGTTTTTTGATATACTAGCATATGATCAATCATTTAACAAAGTGTGTAATTTCTTCTTCATAATTGTGTTGAAGAAATAAGTGCCAACTATAATCTGTAATTTTTAAAAATTATTAAAGAAAGAAAAAAAATCAAAATGACATTTCTGGAGTCAAAGTGACAACTGGATTTGATGATTAGAAGGTAACTAGTAACCTTAGCAAGAACAGGTCCACAGAGGTGGAGCAGGAAGCCAGATGACAATATTCTGAGTAGTAAATGAGTGGTGAAGAAGTGATAACCACCAGAATAAACGTTTGCTCAATGTTTAGTTGTGAAGGGAAGGAATGAGGGGAAAATTGGATCTAGGGTAGACTAGATTGATATTTTGAAATCAAAATGGATCTAGAGTAGACTAGACTGATATTTTGAAATCAAAACCAGTCACACATTGATTAACACAGTTAACACACACACACACACACACACAAACACACACACACAACTGGTTAAATACATTAGGTTCAATCTCAATAGCAAGCCAAGAAACACAACCTAAAATAAGAAATCTTTTTTTTTTGTCTACGAAATAAGATCAGCCAAAAAATGTACTTGTTGTGTCCCTTCTGAAAAGTAATATGAAAAATGTATTAAGAGCCTCAAAATGTTCACATTATTTAAATCAGCAATTCCACTCTGAAATTCTATTCCAAATAAGTAATTCTAACTGAAAAGAAATCTGTGGACAAATATATACAAATAGGTTCAAACCCTAAATATTACACAAAACAGAATGGTGATAAATCGTCAGATCTACTCAATGGAATATTATGCAGCCTTTTTAGAAAGAATATTAACAGCATGAACTTTAAGGCCAGAAAGACCGAAATTCATATGATAGACTACAACACTCAAAAAAGCTATATACTCTTGGGCAAGTGATTTACATTCCCTGACACTCAAACCTTCACTTATAAGTAAAATGACACGTATAACTTTACCTTATATTGGTGAAGGGATATTTCTACCCCACACCCCACCCTTCTGCTTCTGTCTACCTTTGTAGCTGCTCCCCTTCCCCACTCAAAGGAGCAGTAATTGCTAATCTAACCAGACAGAGTACAGGCCATTCAGATGACTACAATCAACTAGTGAATTAAGGTATTGGGCTTAAAACATTTCTACCCACTCACTCTTGGACTTTCTGTTCTCATATGATAAGAAATATAGGGACTTCCCCGGTGGTCCAGTGGCTGAGACTCCGTGCTCCCAATGCAAGGGTCACGGGTTCGATCCCTGGTCAAGGGACTAGATCCCACACGCCGCAACGAAGACCCCACACAGCCAAATAAATAAATAAATAATTTTTAAAAAGAAAGAAACATAGGCAAAGCCAGCCTCATCTGGATAAGCCTGGCCACATTTCTTTCCCTTATTTTCCCTTTTGTTCTAAGGAACAAGAGCTAAAGTTAGGCTAAAACTAGTTCTGCAGACTCAGTCATCCTATCTCTCCTGCAGGCATACCTGAAGATACTGGTCCCAAGATTCAGATTGTGGGGAGGGGGCAAATGGAAAGAGACAAGGAGGAAGGAAATGGTGGTGGTGAGGGTTGTTTAAGTCTTGAGGCTAAGCCATGTACACCAATCAGGTACCATATTTTTTAAATACTAAAAGGAACTACACCAAAATGTTAAGTATCGTTGCCTTTAGATATTGATAATTATAATTTCCATTCTTCTTTTCTATATCTTCCTAAATTTTCTATAATAAACATATATCATTTTAATAATAACAATACTCTTTTAAAACTTATAGGGAGTATTCATGCCTAGGCTAAAATCATATACAGAAAAGATAAAATTATTTTCTAGATTTATTCTGTTTAAGAAGCAGTTTCTAGATTTATGCTGTTTAAGTAGCCTTTGGCAAAGGCAGAGCTAAAACTCATGAGTGCTACGAATGTCAGATATCTAAAAAATTATTTGTAGCTCTGGAGCTAAGTATACAATTCATTAGCTGGCTTCCAAAAAGAATGCATACCAATTGTGCTTACCTTCAATGCATATCAACTGTGCTTACCTTCAATGCATATCAACTGTGCTTACCTTCTCGACGTCAGGCAGACAATCCAGCAGGTCAACAGTGTACTTAGAATCACTTGGATCATTCTCACAACCATTTGATGACATTTTCAAAGGATGTTTTGCCATTGCATCTAATACAGCCTCATAAAGCTGCTTTGTTATCAGAGGAGAAGGAAGTTCTCTTAAATAATCCTTAAGAACACCTTCAGAAAACAAACCAGAGACAGATGGCAATTAGTCTTTAGAGGGAAATAAAAAACTGTGGTGAATTTTTTTTCAAAGAATTGTTACAGCGAACTTTTAACACTCTGAAAACAATAAAAGCAACAATGTAAAAAGAAGTATTATAACAAAACAATAGCAATTTGTATCCTTAGAAATTGCTTCACTAATTGACTTGTTTTGAAACCATGCTAATAATGTACACACATAATAGCCAATTATCATACATATTAGGTTTGTTCATAAAGTAAATCCCTTATAAAAAGCTCCTCTAAGTGCATGTAAAAGAAAATAAGGCATACTAATATTAATTTTAAATTATTCCACTTATGTGAATTTTTAATTTCTAGGCTTTTCATAAGCCCATGCAAATAAGTGAGCTATATAAATATATTTCCTCTTTAATACAGAAGATATGGCTTAAACATACATACTGGATAGTCTGGATAATCTCTAATGCTATACTATGGAAGGAAAAAATCATTCCTAAAACCAAACAAATGAAACCAAAAGCCAAGAACAGAAAACATCAGACTTGTCACTATAGTAAGAATGAGGTTAAGTCAATTTCAAACACACCACAAGTAGTTATGAACTAAGAGATGATATACCTATAGTAGAGGAAACAGGAAAGAGTAATTAATGGTTGTTACATATAAGGAAGGTAGGTAAGATACTAGCTAAAGGCTAGAATGTGATCACAAGGAAATATAGAAGACATTTCTGACACCAAAAACCTTAATAGAGACAATATTGATTTAGAAAATGCTCTCAGCTTAGCCAGGAATTTAGTTTGAGAGCTTAATTTGAATTTAAACATGATCATAAAGGAAGTTTCCCATCTAATAAATCTTTTAAATTTGATAGACCATGGTTCATTAGTTTCTTATGCATCCTTCCAGTATTTGCTTATGCAAATGTAAATAACATATTACTATTTGTTTCCCTTTACTACATAAAAGATAGCATATATGTCCTGTTCTGTTTCCTGCTTTTTCATTTAACATCACATCCTTGCCATATTTTCAGTACACAGAGATTTTCTTCAAACATTTGTACAGTCACATCACAGTATTCCAATGTATGGATGTCCCATAATTTGATCTAGTCAGTTACAAGAGACAGCTACTTAGGTTCTTTCTAATCTTTTGTTATTTCAAAACATGCTACAATGAATAACCTGCACATCATTACTTTGTATGTATGCAGGTATGTTGGTAGGACAAATTCCCAAAACAGGACCACTGGGTCAAAAATACATTTGTCATTTTGAGGGAAAAGGAGGTGTAAGGATATTTCCTAGGTCTGGGGCTTCAGCATCTAGGTGAATAACAGTGCTATTACTTGAAATAGGAGAAGAAGGAGGAAAACCATGTTTTAGGGTACAGGAAGGAGTTTCATTTTGAACGTATTAAGCTTAAGGTATCTACGGGACATTCAAGCCTACTGGATATAAAAATCTGAGGCTCAGGAAAGAGATGGCTGGAGACACAGACCTGAGAATGATCAACTTAAAGATGATAACTAGAAACTTGGGAATGACTGCGATAATCAGGGCAGCATACAGCATGATATGAGAAGGCCTAGTGATAAGAGAAGGCCATGAAGAACATCAGTAGGAAGAATGGCTAAAGGACTATGAGTGGTAAGAAGAGGCAGGATGGGGGTGGGGGTGAGACAGGCAAATATGCTGCAAGGAAGTCAAGGAAAGAACGTTTCAAGAGTTTAAGGTAGCAGTTGGTACCCAATAAGAGTTAGGTTAGATAAGAAGAGTGTTCTGGATTGGTCATTTGTATGTTAAAATCATTCAGGATGATGGCAGGACTCCAGTTGGAAATCTAACCATAGGCGAGGTATCAAAGTCTTCACTGAATAAATGGGAATGCCCAAGAGTTCTGTAAGTGATGTTAAATACGAAAGGCAGAGGTGGTGCAAGAGTGTGCCATGAGCCTCCAAAAAGCCTTATTCCTTCATTAAGCATAAGTTCCTACTCAATAGTAAAAAGGTAATAACCTGGAAATAGCACTAAGGAGCCAAGAGGATATTGACCAAACTTCTTTTTTTTTAATTTATTTATTTTATGTATTTATTTTTGGCTGCGTTGGGTCTTCATCGCTGTGCACAGGCTTTCTCTAGTTGCGGCGAGCGGGGGCTACTCCTCGTTGCGGTGCGCGGGCTTCTCACTGCGGTGGCTTCTCTTGTTACAGAGCACGGGCTCTAGGCACGTGGGCTCAACAGCTGTGGCTCGCGGGCCCCAGAGCGCAGGCTCAGCAGTTGCAGCGCATGGGCCCAGCTGCTCTGCGGCATGTGGGATCTTCCTGGACCAGAGCTCGAACCCACGTCCCCCCAATTGGCAGATGGATTCTCAACCACTGCGCCACCAGGGAAGCCCCAAACTTTTTCTTCAATATATACAAAGAGATACAACATATATAAAGTGCTTGGCATATAATAATAATCAATACATGTTAGACATACAGTGATGATAATGATAAAGCATTTTGTACACAGTACGCATGCAACAATTGTTTATTCACATTCCTTAACTTATATCATGTGATCTTTACTACTATCATTAGTTTCCTACAATGAATTGCAACATTCAGTGTAAAGAGCATTGAGTTACAATTAGAAAGTGAAAATGCAATTTTCTGTAGCTGCCAAATAAAGACACTACTAACCCTTTAGGGCATAATCTTTTTTAAAGGTTCCATAGTTGTTCCTTGACAAAGCAAGACTTGTTAGCTCTTATAAAACTCAATATGCCCTGGTAGCTTGAGACTTGCCCTGTAATGCAATTATATTAAATCAAAACCTAAAAGATCTCCAGAAAAGATAACTTTATACCTTAGTGAAACATGTATTTCAAATATCATTATCCTTTATATGATTAATATGCTAAACAACTATTAATATAAATGGAATTTTAAATTAACCCAAGTTCAAGATTACTTTGCTTCACTATAATTTGAGGGCAAATAAGAGAGAATTATTATAACAAATATTAAGCACTTAAAGTATGCTCAATGAACATTATGTTCAATGAAGTAAAAATTATAGTTGCTTTTCTATAAGCAGACAAACGTCACAGGAAAAATAATCAAAAGATTTTATAAAATGAAACAGAGAGATGGTACTCATAGTGCGTTGTAACATGTATGATATGACTACTCATCAGTCTAGAAATTAGCTATATGGCCTTATCCCAAAAACTTAGTGATAGGCAGGAGCATCTTAAAGCCATATTGCCTTCTTAACATCTTTCAAACACTTTGGGACATAAAAACCGTAAGATAATAAAATTGTGGTGACAATCTTTAATGTGACAGGAGCTACTTCAAAAAAGACTTGGGGAGAATTTATGATGAAGTTTATTTAATGCAACACAGTAAAACTTTTATCATGTACTTGAAGCAGGCAATTATTGATAAATAAAGAGCTGGGTCTAGTTACATCTCTTAAGCTGCCCTGTAATAGTTAGATACTATGAAACCATATGCCTCTCACCCTCATTCAGGCACAGGACCAACTACACAGAGAAATTCTACTCATCCCCATGGTGGGATATACGTATCACTACACTAAAAACAAGTCATTCTAATCTCTAAAACTACTTCTTCTCAGAGGCTGGTTTGAAGTACCTATATTTTATTAATTCTCAATCACAAAATTCACCCTGTTCTCTCTGCCTAAAACTCTAATAATCACTAAATAAATAATGTTGACTTTTCCAATTTCTTCTCTTGTACTATGAATAGATTTTATACCTTAAATTTTGCACCTGACTGAAAAAAATCTGGTTTGTCTGGAGCACTTCATTCTGTATTCCAGACAAGCCAGCTACTAAGAATGCATTAAATTGTGAGTAAACTCTATCATTCACTCCATTAATATCTCTTCTTTTAGACCTACTTAACAGTTAATTATATTTTAAAGTTTACTTGAAATGTGAGTTCACGTGGAACAAACACATGAGGCAACACTATTACTGGCCAGTTCCCCAAATCAACAATACCCTTTACTTTGAGCCACGATGAGCCCTTGTGTATATTTTATTGCAATTTCAATGATATTTCTCAGGCAAACCTTAAGTCATCCCATTGGCTTTTTATCAAGAATGAAAACAGCTCTAGGTTCTTCTGAAAAACAGGTTTACTGAAATGGAATATACAAAGAATAAAGCCAAGAAATACCCAATTCATAAATTATGTAAACTCTCAATTTTAGAAAAGAATGCTTCTATGAATGTTTCATTGACCTATTGTCATACCTTCTGCATAGGCTGCAAATTTCCAACTAAGGACCTTCTCTTATAACAAATAATCAATTCAAACCACATCACTTCATCTTTTTAAATTATACACATTTGACATAATTTTTATCTCCAAGAAAGTCTTCAACCAAGACAAAATCTCCTTTTATTTAGTTATAGAGTGTAATTTTCTGAGGATTGCTATTTATAAAATTTTTCTTTAATAAATTCATAAAATGAGTCCTTTGCTGATTTTGTTAATTACACATTATTAAGGGAAAAATTCTACTTTTTTGTAGAAATGACCCATTTTTTAGTAGAAATAATATGCCTTCTTCCTTTATAAAATAAAAGTAACCATTATTTCTGGTTTGCTAAAACTTAAGAGAAAGAAAAAGTGCTTTGGTTTGCTCCCTCTCCGAATTAAAATGCTTGGGATCGAAGTTTTAGTTATCCAAGAATATAATATTAAATATTCTATGAAATATAGTCATTCAGAGTTCAGAGATTGGGAAGCTCAGTTATCTGGAAAGCCTCAATCCTAACAGTTAGCTTTAAGGATTTCAACTAATAAAAATCTCTTGAATATGTGCAAGTTGAACCTTCCTCCAATTCTCACCTAGACAATTAATTGTGTGTAAAATAAGAAAGCAAATTAGAAGAGAAAAACAAACGCTATTACAGCAAGAAAAAAAAAAACAGTAGTTGACAGTAGAGAGAAGAGAAAGACTATCAAAATACATAGATGATCTAGAAATACATACCAAAGCATCTGTAGGTGAAAGGATGTGATAGCTGAGATATGGTTCAAAATAATCCAAGTTTGGGGAGAATCAAATGAGGGGTATAAATGAGACAGGTTTGGTCATGTGTTGATTATGGAAGCCAGGTGATGGATAAAGAAGGTTTATCATAGTATTCTCTCTACTTGTGTATATGCTTGAAAACTTTGCTAATAAAAAGTAAAACAACAACAAAAAACAAACATGGAATTATAAGCCAATAGGCCTCGAATATCGATTAGTTATGAAAAATGTCCTAATGGCCAAATTCAAAGGCCTTTTTTCTGTTCTCATTTTATATGATCTCTCAGAATGACAGTGCATCACACCTTTCCTTAACACTCTGTAGTCTCTTGTTTCCCATACTTTCTGACTCCTTTCCTCTCAATCTCTTTAGCTGTTTCTTCTTTCTTTGCCTGCCTCCAAAGTTTGGAGATCCTCAAAGTTCTTGTCTTTTCAAACTCTATAGACAACTGCAAGGCGTTAATTACAACTAGTGCCAATGACCATCAAATTGCCGTTTTCTACCCCCACCAGTCGGGGTATTAGAAGTGTATTTACAATGCTATACATTGGATTGCATTCATCACCTGGGTCAACAGCAGATCCCTCACATTCTACTTATATCCTCTCCTTAGCTGTAGGAGATATATCCTTGATATATCCACTGAGATCTCCTACTAGTACATCAAATTCAATATGTAAGTTTGAAAAAGAAACCCAATTCATAATCTTTTTCTACATTTCTCCACCGAAAGCAGTAGCTTTCCTCTCAGCTTTCTTACTTCTGCTAATGGAACCCAATCAACCAGATGTCAAAGTCAGGATTGTCTGGGCCCTCCCTTTCTTCAAATACTTTCAATTCTATTTCTTCCTGCTGTTGCTGCTGCTGCCAGATGCCATCCAATCTCATTACCTCCTTGCTGAGACTATTGCCAAGGCTTCCTAACTGGTTTTCCTTCCTCTTGTATCTTCTAATTTCAGTCCATCACACAGACTTGCCAGATAAATATTCCTGAAGACTATCTCTAAAGATTTCACTCCCCTGCTCAAAAATCGTTGATGGATCCCCTCTGCCTAGTAAATAAATCTAAATTCTCTAACCAGATAGTCAATGCCCCTTATATTATGTCAGCTCCAGTCAAACTGAACTCTGATGACATTTTATTTATCTCTCTATGAAGAAAAGGTGCCCTTTTCCTTCTGTTAGCTACTACAGTTAATTTAATGTAGGTCTCTTCCTCCCAACACTTGTTGGCTGTTTGAGGACAGGGACCATATCTTGGTATCTCCCCACAGAAAATAACACAGTAGTGTTTGTAAAAGAAGGAAAATAAGACTGCAGAATAAAACCAAATTAAATTTAGGCTACAAAATAGTATTTCAATTCTCTTTCGTGCAGATGTAGTCTTTCCAGAATGTGTACATAAAAATAACATCTATTTATTACCTGTTATTACATTTATATCTGGGTATTGGCTTTCACACAGACCAACAGCTTTGCTATCCCTCTCAAAAGCCTCTCGAAGTTCTTTCTTGACTGCTGCCGAGCCACATAATCGGTACAGGCCTACTACCTAGAAATAAAATTATGGCCACATTATGGTAAATTGGATAAAGAGAAAATATTATAGTGCAGTATGCATAAATCACATGAACTTGGCAATCTAATATGTTCTGATGGCATTTAATTAAAAATATCTCAAACATAGCTTTTGAAATCTCACCATAGACTATACTGATTATAGTTATAGTTATATAGTTTAATAAAAAATTATATTATTTCCTTTAAATCTGAACAATATACTGTGATTTCTGTAATGCTGCCTATCATATCTTAAGCAAAGATACAATCCTTACCCTTTAGTTTTACATGCTCAAACAATATCTCCATGCCCCAAGATGTTGCCCTTTCACATCTTTTGCTATAGACTGAAGTAATACAGCACAGCAGTTAAACTAGGGTTTTGGATTCATAAAGCCCCACACTATCACTCCTTGCTTGGTGAATTTGAGCAAGTTACTTAATCTCTTTAAAACTCGAAAAAAGTATATTTTTGAAATAAGGTTCCAGTATACTATTTGTGTAAAGTTATCTTTAAAAAAAAAAAAAAGTTTCTGAGGAAGAAATAAAAATAAATCTAGGATTTTTTAACTTATCAAATTAATTGATTATAAAGCAATGAAGGAAATTCAATTAAAATAATATATTAAAGGTAAAATAAAACTTCTAGTTCAAAATGTATATAAGATGCAAAGACACCACTCACTCTCCCCTCAACCTACATTAAAAAGATTTGTTTTTTAAACACTGTTAGTTCAGTATAAATTCACTAAGAGGAAATCAACATGGTATCTTAAAGAGAAAACATGCCTGATTAAGCAATTGGAGTTTTTTAAAATGATAAACCTTCAAGAAAATTGAGGAAAGCGGTTGTCACCTATACTTCCACATCAAAGACTATTTAGGAAGTTTAATCACCTTGAATTGAAAGAAGTTACAGATAAAGAAATTATTTCAAGACAGAAATAAAGTGAAAACACACAGTGCAATCCCCAAGGATTTGAACTAGGAATCACTTTAAAATGCTAAAAGTGATCTAGAGGAAGACTGCAAATGAAATTTCCCGGTTTACTTATGACAAACTCTTCTGAGTTTTTAAATAACTGATAGAATACACTACAGAAAGTGGGTCTCAACATAGGAAAGCGTCAGTAATGGATACATGGAAATGTTATCCAAAATACTTGCGATGACAAGCATTAAGTATTAATTGAAAGATAGTAAAGAACCTACAACTATTTCTAAGAGAAGGTAATTCAAGGTGCTGCTGCATTCAAAAGAATCAACATGATATGGGAAATCAGGAAGGTACTAGAAAGAAAATTCAAATTTCCTGTTCTTATCCACATTCATGTTACATTCACATCATCACAAGAAAGAAAAGTAGAACGGTAGATGATCCAGACAATGAAACTAAAATATTAAACAGGATCAAAGGAAATGCTACCACATGAGAAGAAACTAACTTGAGTACAGCCCTTCTGGTGTATGCATACTTAAGTGTCACAAAATTTCATAAGGATGTATCCTCTTAAACTTGAGAAAGAGATGAACCTAGAACAAATTAAAGAAAGCAATACTTCAATAGCAAGTAATAAATTAATGGAACATGTTATCCCAAAAGCTGCAATTACAAATATAGTTTTAAAGGTGAATAAAAGAAGGAAGAGCTAATATAGATATGTCAGGCAGGGATATTTTAGGATATATCCCTACCTTCAGAGGCTGACTTCTTGAATCAAACACTTGAAGTACATGCTTGATGCCTCTATTGAGGACAGAATCTGAACCGGATGGACCATGAGGATGATTTCTATACTAAATTTCACTATTGGAAGCAGGAGACAGGTGGTAGTAGCCTTCAAAGTATTTCGAAGATATCACAAACCATTTTTTGTTTGACTATCAAAACCTGATGTTCATTGTAAAAAAAACAAGAATAATTACTGACTAGAGAGGTAAACAAAATTTAAGCAGTATGCTGCTCTGTAAACTGCAGGCACAATCAGCCTCTTTCTGTGCGTGTGTTGGGGTGCAACAGGGAGAAGCACAAGAGACAAAACAAGAAAAGGTGTTGAAAAAGTACAGCTCCAAACATACAACTGTAAATTTTTTTTTACTTTTTATTTCACAGGAGATAATTCTTTATTAAAATAAAACTTTCTAAACTTTAAGTATAGAAATAAAAAGCATTGCTAAAAATATTTTCTTGGCATTTAAAATCAGTTATTACAGTCTTATATACTTGCTCTTTATAAAATATTTTCAGAAAATAGACTGTAAAAGTACAGCGTTATTTGAGTTACTTATTTTAATATACAATTGTAAAAGTTTCTGTTTAAATAATTAGCTTTAAAGTCTGCCTAATCTCTGGCCTCCCTACATGCTGCGTGGAAAAAAAAAAATACAGGAAAAACAGAGGACCTTAAGAAAAAAGTAACTGGACCAAAAGTTGGATTGGAAACTGAAGGCCTCACTTCCACCCAGACAACGTAAACTTGACTTGATGGAATCACATATCTGAAAAGAAGTTTCAAAAATTCAAATGTCCTACCTCTCAGCTTCAGGAAGCTACTGCATCTATTTTTATTTAATATAAGCAAAAAAGACCCACAGAGATTAAGTGACTTGCCCAACATCACACAGCCAATGATGGATGAGAAACCAGAATCCAAGTCTCTTGTACCTTTATACAAAACTCCACTAACTTATGCAATTTCTATCATTTCCATGTTAAATTCAAGGTAGATTATTTTAAGTTTGCATCTACATTCTTATAAAGAAATCATATTTCAGATTTTGTGGTATTTATCCTCGATATTTTTTAATGAATGTTATAAATTCTGATAGCACTAAAGCAAAATACTTCAGAACATAATGATGCTTAGGCTTATTTTGTATTGCAAAAAATTAGTATAAATAATTACTTAACCTCATTAATATCCTCAGTCATACACTGTTTCTCATTGTCATAGTCTACATGTATAAATGAAAATAAAGATAAGGTCTACTAACTAGTTAACATTTACATATCTTATTACAAATAACACCAGGTTTTTTGTTTGTTCTAATGAACTGCTTTTACCTTCTTTAAAAGGAAAAGAGAATGAGATGTGCTTTTATTAGTAGGACCTCTCCTTATCCTCCATGCTATCCCAAAGGTAAGACATGGATAAGCTTATGCTTTCCAAAGAGTGGAACTGAGGGAGAACAGGGAATAAGGGCAGGGAGTTAATTTTAGGAGTGAAACAGGGTTATAATATTCACTGTCGAACTCTCTACCAAAAGAACATCAAAACATTCAGAAACATTCCTTAAATGAATTAGGCTTAGCCTATGTTATCAGCTCTGGCTTTTCCTAGGAATGCCATTGTAAAGCAATCTTCATCTTTAAGTATAAGACCATGCAGCTCTGCATCACAACATAAATTATGGAACCATCTAGCACGCTTTCAATCACTGACAACATAGGTTAAGGCATAAATTACATCCTAAACAGCAATGGAATAAAAATAAAGAATCGGAATGAGAAAAAGTCTAAACTGGATTTTTTTAACTTACCTTGAACTCCTTCCCCCAAGACTTACTATAAATAAATTTAATTATTACTCAAATAGACAAATAAGGGGGCAGTAGAGAAACACAGTAAAATAATACCTGACAGCCTCTCTTTTCAATTTCCATAATACATTTCTGAATCAGGAGCGGTACCATCAAGCCTATATTTTCTTTCTCTACAACTTTTCGAATATCAACACCAAATATTACTGGTTCTCGATTTATATCTAGTCCATGAAGTGAATTCTCCCACTGTTCCAAAAGAGTCACTTTCACATAAATAAGACCTCTAGGTTCAAGTTTGACAGCCAACAGATGTGTCTTTGTCACTCTGAATAAGGTGGGAAGAACAACAGTTCCATGACAACACACTCGATTTTTTCTTGGAGTGGGTTCCCAACTGAATACTACTAATTTCAAATGCTGTGCATTTTCAATTTCTATGTTGAAAGTGTGATCCATGTCTAAAAACGTTGTCCGACATGTGAGCAAAGCTGTTCTGGCTTTGTTTACTGAATCTACCTGAATTGCACAAAAGACATCTTTTGAATCTATCCGAGGTGGTTTTAAATCCTCAGCACCATAGAAATGCACACTCATGAGCCCAGATATGTACTGAGAACACTTAGGTTGATCAGAAAAGCTATAATGTCTAAAAGCATCAATGTCTATTTCATTCTTGCTACAACTATTTGGAATTATTTCTTTTCCTTTTGCAAATTTGTTTTCACATCCATGTTTGCTAGATTTAGCTATAAGTTCAGGAGAGTCTCCATCACTGAGGTAACCACTTTTGCAGGAATATTTAGAACTCACAGAGGTTTTCTTCTGGTAGCTGTGCTGAGAAGACACACTAGTATCAAGATGGTACCGGCTTATAACATTCCTCTTAGCAGCTGTGGTTGTGTTCCCAGAAGGTAGAATAACAGCATGATGAATTTCTTGCCAGTTACATTTAGACAAGGAAGGAGTATTATCCGGACTGTTTCCATAATTCAAGTTTCCTTTAACACTTAGTTTCCGGCTAAATTCTGGCAACCTTTTCATTCTCATGGAAAGTTTCCTCACAGTTCGTGGAGATTTTATTTTATCCGGGAAAGACCAATGAATTGAACTGCCTTTTTTCACAGGGCTAGGGCTTGGAGAAGATGGTCCTGTAACTCCCAAATCAGGCTTATTTGTAGCAGCTACTATCCCAGGACCTTGAAAATAAAAGACATTATAAGGTGAAATGTTTTGATTCCTACTTTTATTTTTACTTTATAAAATACCAACTTAACAAGCTCTCACATGGACACAAATTCTTTCCTGTTTCATCTTAAGGGTGAGATTTAGTCAAAAGTTTAGATGAATCTCCATTACCATGTTCAAGCAGAATATCAAGATCTACAAACGGCTTCCGGTGGAAAGAAATATCTCCCTCTCCATCTGCCCTTCTATTCTGACGCTTTGGAGGAAAGGTAATACAGGTTCCTTTTAAATCTTTCCCACTGCAATATACTTCAGTGAGCATGTGTTTATAACTGTAAACAGTGAATATCAGAGAAAACTAGGAAAGCTTCCTATTTTAATATGTTCATTTTAACATATTAAAACATTAATTTCAACATGTTTCCTATTTTAATATGTTTATTTATAAATTCTACCTAATATAAGAATGATTCCTCTATATTTACAATACTCTAAAAACTAAATTTCATCACATAGCATTGCTGGTTAAAAAAAAAAGTTAAAAACCAAACAAGTGTATAATTTTGACAACTAAGAGCCAACTTAATTGGCTCTAAAATTCTATTAGAACAGGCTTCCCTGGTGGCGCAGTGGTTGAGAGTCCGCCTGCCGATGCAGGGAACACGGGTTCGTGCCCCGGTCCGGGAAGATACAACATGCCGCAGAGCGGCTGGGCCCATGAGCCATGGCCGCTGAGCCTGCGCGTCCAGAGCCTGTGCTCCACAACGGGAGAGGCCACAACAGCGAGAGGCCCACGTACCAAAAAAAATTGTATTAGAACATATCACCAAAGATTATATAGAATGAACTCTAGTTAATCAAGAATAACTGAATAATGAATATCATAAACCTACCTGAATAATTTTTTAAATGTATAGACATTTTCTTTCTTGTATTTATCTTTATGCAATAATTCCGTAGAACTTCAAAAGCTAAATTAGGGCGTTTCTTTGCTATTTTAATATATTAAATGACAGTACAGAGATAAAGTATGTTTTCTTATAATTTTCAATTTTCATAAAAAGTGTTAAAATTCTTTCGAATTCTTCTCCACACAAAAATAGTTTTATTTTTTCCTAAATGTCAAAATTACTCAGGTTTACAATAAAACGTTTTTTAAAAATTCAAAAAAGTACAAATAAAGTAAATAATAGCCCACATTGCCAAGAGATTAACCACTGTAAAACCACACTACCAGGAGATTAATCATGGTAAATATTGTGGTGAAAATAATATTAAAAGTAGTTTCTATTGTTATTATTAAATTATTAATATTTAGTTATTATTAAAATTAATACCAGCCAACATTTACTGAGCTAGACAAAGTGTGAAAAATTAATTTAATAATTAGTATGGGCAGACCCTCATTTAACTCTCATAATAACCTTCAGAGTTAAGATACCATTACCACCCCATTCTCCAGGTAAGGAACCTCATGCATGAGCTAATTTGTCTAAGATCACAAAGCTGGTAAGTGGAAGAATCAGGACTCAAACCTAAACACAGGCTTTCAGAATCTATGCTCTAAAGTACTACGCTTTCAGTCTCTCCATCCTTTTAAACAATTTTCTGTCCATACATATACATCAAACTGATTTTCAGATACCTTTTCTCAACTATTATTAAGAAGTTAAAATATTCCATTTAACCTTAAACTTTCAATCCCCCCCCAAAAAAAAGAATGTAAAGACTAATCAATTTCATTTAAAAATCTGAACCTGTTCCTAGTAAGTTTTCAAATTAATAGAACAAAGTGAAAATAACTTCTAAAACTCTGTTGGTATTATCCCAATTATTTAAAATTTAAATTAATTGTTCATACTTTATTTAATAATTCCTTATAAAGATCCTTAATGACCCTAATATCAGAGGTTACTCTATGTAATACTACATTTGACAACTAAAATGAGAAAAAAGTGTTTATTCATTTCAAAAATCAGTAGATTAAATGACCTTTCTTTAAAGTATTAATATAGTATTCTCCCCCCACCCTTCAATGTGTCCTATTGACAAAGTAGTTTCTTTGTAGAGAAAGGACTATTTTAAGTATGCCTGCTGGGCTTTTCTGGTAAGCAACTAATAAGAAATGGAGTGTTTGATAAACTAGACAAAGCGTTCCCTTGTACTGTAAATTGTAGTACAATTCTACTGGTTTCCTGGTCTAAAACATTCTATAGTAGTCAGAGTCCTACTGTAGTCTACAATCTATTTTGTCATCGCCTAAAAAAGCTACTCAGTATATGAAATTGCTCTAGGTTTTATTAAATCAATAAAGAGTTAATCTAACATACTGACTTTTTTACATATTATGCATTAAATATCTCCTACTGAAGTCCTTACCTAATTATTAAAATGAAATACTGTATTTGTTAGCAATTTCTACTGCAGACAAGACTGAATTTATTTTTTTTAAATGCTTTGTTTTTATAAAATCCAAGAGCTGAAATATGACCAATTTGAACAATCACTTAAAATTAAACCAAAATTATACTAACCAAATCACAGATTAGCTACAGCTTATAAGGGGAAAACATAAAATGAAAATCTTTAAATATAAATTTATGAACCAGGCTTGAATCAATTGAAACTGGCACACTCCTTCAGCATCTAGAGCAGTAACTGGCACATACCAGAAACACAGTGTTTATTGAATAAATGAATTAACCAATTGTTAATTGTCTATAAATTGGTGAACCTTTCAGGAAATACAATATAGATATTACCTATAATAGTTACCAGCTAAAAAGACCAAGTAAAGATACTAGTAATGGATCCTAATGAAGCAAAATAGATCATGATAAAGATCACTGCAACAGTAGTGGAGTCTATTAACACCCAACATTAAGGAACCAGTCAAACAGATTAGGGCACATCAACTCAATTAAATACTTTAAAAATAGGGAAACAATCATAAGATTAATCTACATGTAACAACACAAAATATAGATAGCAAGTGAAATTAGCAAAAACCAAAAACAGTCCACTATGTCAGCAACTAGGTAAAAGATACATAAACAACCAGAAGTTAAAAGGGAAAAAACAAGTCACAATTGTGTTAGGATGATCATAAAATTGTCATTCATATTAAAAATACTTAAACTTTCTTATTTCTTAAACAAAAAATTATTTTGAAATTCAACCATTCTCTTTGCCTATTTCTCAACAGATTTCTGCCAATGTTGCTAAAGAAAACATACCACTTTAGGTAAATGACCTTTCTGATCAAACTAAAGCAAAAAGATGACATATAAACAAACTGTCCAAATACTTCCTTTGGTCAACTTAAGAACGTGCTTGTTGTAATAATATACTTAAGAGAAGAATAACAGTAAGAAAGGAGACATAATTGGCAGCCCTACTGTACTTTCAAATTTGGGTGGTTTTTTTGTTTTTTTGGTAATGTCTGTCAGTCTTTACAGATTCACAATTTGCCACAAACATAAAATAATAAAGTTTAAAGACAGTACTTAAAGTGTATATCACTTTACAGACACTGGCTCTCTAATGTTGCTCTTATACTTACGCCCTCTTGCCTTTTCTGCACCATTCCAGACCCATCACTGTCTGCCCTACTCCCGCAAGCCTTCCTCATCACTCCATCCTGATCACAACCTCTGTTCCAAACTATTATTTTATAGACTATTTATACCTCTTCCCATCCATATTACAAAAGAAACACACATTTGCTCTGGAAAATCAGACTACAATTAGAAATGCACACACACAATTTTAATCCCAACACAGGGGGTAACGATGGGTCAAGCATTAACAGTTCCAGGACAGCTTTTCATTGTTTCTTTCAAAATTGACATCATACAGTTCACACTGTTTTTTAACTCACTTTCTTTCTTATCAATATAATATTTACTCCTTCTCCTCATACCCCTGAGAAAAGGATCCAAATGCAAGTAGATTACTTGTAAAGTACAAAAAGATCAGCAAGAAAGTGAGAAAATTCAAGGTGAATTATCAAGCCTGCTACCACTATGGGCACCTGGAGCTTAACTTCATGAGAAAACTCTGGGAAACAATATACAATTATCCCACCCAAGTGTGGAGGGAGCTGGGGTAGGCCTATACCAACTCCTGTCAGTCACTTGTTGAGGGGCACTCCCAGGATGTCCTGCAGGAGACTCTCTAACACTTTGGAAGGAGTCCTCAAGTAGAGATGCAGATACTGATTTTTGGAAGTAGGCTGCCTCCATTTAAATAAGTAATAAAACCCAAGGGATATGGACAAGTACTAACAGCATCTTCTATACCCCACATCTTTGACTACTCTGTATCATTTGAAATTTTATAAATTAAAATGACTCATTATATAGAACTGCTTTCTATTCAACATTTAATAACTGCAACTAAAAGTGCTTAGGTAGTGTTTTCTTGGGTAGTGTGTCTGGGACTAAATTTAAAAAGAAGCACACCAGAAATCAAGGCAATCAAGGAAAAATAACACCATTAGGTTGAACTATATGAATTGCCAGGTTTTTGTTTTTGTTTTCAGACCAAAAACTGTTAAATATTGGCAGTTTCATATGCTTCAACCTAATACATATCAAACTTCAATTATTTCCTTTCTGGGTTCCATATTTATTGTAGCACCTATTTGCAAGATCTTTACTTCTACCTCTCCTTTCTTTTTCTCTTCTTCCTTTCCTTTGTTTCTGAGGAAATGTAGGCACAAAAGTGAAAACTAATGACTGCTAGTACACTGAATATACAATTTTTCATTTGTGGCCAGACCAGGTGTGAATGAATGAATGAATAAATGAATGAATGAAGCAAAACAAGACATACATGAAGAATATATCTCTTCCAGTCCCTGTGACTCCATTCTTTCAACTAAGAGAAAAGTAATTACTGCCTCAAAGGACAGACATACTAAAACCACACCATACACACTAAAAGTTGGTGTAGGACTACCCCAGCTCCTTCACCCCTTACAAAATCAAGTCTGTAATAGGAATAATTAAACCACCATGTATATAAAAATGTTTATAAACCTTTTTCAGTTTTATTTTCATGAAAATATACTCACTTTGTAAGGAAAAGTACATAGCTACAATAGACATCTATATTTAGTTTTAGATACTGCCAAAGAATTGAAAAATGGAAGAAGGCAGATATATGATCATCTTTACCTGCAAAAGGAGATTTCAACGTGGGACTCTCCTCTACTATTATACCTTCTTGTGTCTTGTGTCCATGCCTTTGCTTGTACTGCTCCACAAACTCTGTGGAATAGATGGAATCTATAGGATTTATTTCATTTGACTGTGTGGTCTGAACATCGCCTGTGTGTTCAGAAGAGCACAGCAAGTCTTCAGTGTGCTGCTCTTCTTTCATTAGGTCACTACCAGATAATACTCTCAAACCGACATCAGGAAACTTCAGAACAGCAGAGTCTGCCTCCCCAAAACTCAAGGCATTTGAAGTACCAAAGTCATCATCCTCAGGAATGGGGTTGTACCATATTTCTCCTTCATCATCTGCATCATTTTCCTCATTAAAGTCTAATGAACAGTCTCTTGATAATGAAGAATTTGTGGCAGTACACACCATATACGTACAATATTCTTCAGATGATTTGAGGAAAGGTCGTGACAGCTGCAGTTTAGGTAGAGAAACGGGTGAGATGGATAAATGACTTATATCTTGGCATTTCTTATTTTCGTCTTCCAAATTAAAAGATCTCAGAGTACTCTGATATAGCCAATTGCGTTTCTTTGACACAGTGATGCTATTAAGTGGCTTATGACCCCTGAAGCCAATATTATCCTTCAGATCTTCAAGTTCTCTTCTCTTCATTGAAGACTCATAGACATTTTCAAATAAGTCTGTTTCAAAGAAAAAAGAAGGCAGAATATAATGCCTGGCATACCAAGAAAGGCATGTCACTTAAGACCAGTTATTAAAATACTATTTTTAGGGGCTTCCCTGGTGGTGCAGTGGTTAAGGGTCCACCTGCCAATGCAGGGGATGCAGGTTCGAGCCCTGGTCCGGGAAGATCCCACATGCCATGGAGCAACTAAGCCCGTGCACCACAACTACTGAGCCTGCGCTCTAGAGCCCGCGAACCACAACTACTGAGCCCGCGTGCCACATCTATTGAAGCCCACGCGCCTAGAGCCCGTGCTCTGCAACAAGAGAAGCCATGACAATGAGAAGCTCCCACACCGCAACGAAGGGTAGTCCCCCTCACCGCAACTAGAGAAAGCCCACATGCAGCAACGAAGACCCAATGCAGCCAAAAATAAAAATAAATAAAATTATTAAAAAATATATATATACTATTTTTAAAAAGATAAAAAGAAAGAAAAGTAATATTAATCACATTCAGAGACAAAAATTGAACAAGACAAATTTTCGATTTTCCACCTAAACATGATTTCTATTATTTAGATATCAGACTGCTAGTATAGGTATCATAAGAATTCTAAGAAAAAGGATAAACAAACTCTGAGACTGCCTTTATAAATATCATAGGGCTAAAAAAGCTTTACCCTAAGCAAAACATGCTTTATAAAAAGCTTGTATAGAATGCTTTATACACAGTATGCCTTTAATTAATATTTGAGTAATTTTAAACTCACTGCTACAAGGACTTTGGCAAACACAAGTAAGATTACTACCTTTTCATACAAAGATTAACTTTGAATAAATCTTTCAAAACAATTGTGCCTTACTTATTACTGAATGTCTTACTGATTATTAAAATTTCAAAATAACATCTGTTTCCTAACCATATAGTGCAGTAGCAACTTATGCAGAGTTTAAGTTCTAAATATCTAGGGCAAAAATAAAAATAAGAGTCCGTAAGGAGGCCCTTGATTAGGACCAGGTATCCTGTCTCACAACAAGCACAACACAGCTATATTATTGACAGGTACAAACTTGAGCAGCAAGAATACAAGAATGAACAAAATAGCCCCTGCTCTTAAGGAATTCATAGCCCAATGGAGGATGTCAAATACTTAGATATGTGTATGTATTAATATAATGTGATAAGACTCTAAAAATGTATATGTAACATTAATTCCATATAAAGGGGAAAATTTTTTGCACTTCCAAAGAGTTACATAAAGCCAGCTTCCCGGCTTCAATGACAGTCAATAAGCTAAATAAATATATATAATAAACTAACTCACTACACATAGATAATTAAAACAAAACCACATTTCGTTCGTGCCCCGTTGCGGCTGGGCCCGTGAGCCAGTGAGCCATGGCCACTGAGCCTGCGCATCCAGAGCCTGTGCTCCACAACGGGAGAGGCCACAACAGTAAGAGGCCCGCATACAGCACAAAAAAAAAAAAAAAGGACCTACTATAATTTTTTTTTTTTTTTGCGGTACGCGGGCCTCTCTCGCCCGCCGCGGAGCACAGGCTCCGGACGCGCAGGCTCAGCGGCCATGGCTCAACGGGCCCAGCCACTCCGCAACATGTGGGATCTTCCCAGTGCAGGGCACGAACCCGTGTCCCCTGCATCGGCAGGCGGACTCTCAACCACTGAGCCACCAGGGAAGCCCCTTTCAGAGTTTTTTGATGTACATTGTAAATGAAATAAACATACTTCTACTTGTACTATATTCCAAGGAACTACAATGAGAAAAATAAAGCTACCAGTATCCCATATTTAAACCGATACATCTATTGATATGTAATGAATATGTAATATTAAAAGGAATAATTACATCGTGAGACACAATACAACTATTTTTCATGAAACTACAAACTACATAAACTTGAGATGAAACAGTCTGCTTGCTATTGCTGAATATTTAAAAACACATAATGCTGAAGTTTAGAGATAAAGAGGTACATTATTATACGTTCTGATAAAAACCAAATTTATTCCGTTATTAAAACTGAATATAAGCGACACATTATTCAAGGTAGAAAATTTTACTTGGGCAATTATTTATATATAACTTAAAGGATTTCATTTTTATCTCAGTTAATTAAATGGATGCCTATGAATATAAGTTACACAGAAATGGAAAGCTATTTACCATCTTCTCTTCACTCCCCATTTATGCTAAAATTAATGTTAAACCTTACTGGCATAAATGTAAAAGTTACCTTTAGCTTCAAATTTTATATATATGTGTGTGTGTATATATATATATTGACATTTATATATTTATATGTTGAAAGAAGACAAAAGTAAAAAAGATATAAAAATAAGTGTGCAAAGTTGCAAGGCAAAAAAGTCTTTATTCTCTTGCAACTATACACGTTATGGTATAACTATCAGACTCTAATTAGTCATTTTCCTTGAAAATCTGTAAGAGAATGCGGAAGTGGCAATTAAAAGTTTTTCACTCAGAAAAATATTTACATAGTGGTGAACTACTCAAGCCAATTTTGTGTTCTCAACTATTACGTATTTCATAATAAATCTAGATGAGTTACTATTACTAAACATTTAACTAGTGCCCCAGATCAAAATCAACAGCAAACTTTCTGGGAAATTATGTACTGCAGCCCTCATTGAAAATGTACAGTATCTACAACATCTTTTCATCATTTAAAACATTCTACCGCAAAAACAAACTGTTGTTTTAGCTTACTTCTCTTTTAAAAATCCTAAATAAAAGCATTCTTATGAACAATGTATTTGAGCTTAAATAAATAAAAGCAGCCCTGCTTATAGAGTCAAGCTTGGCAGCCCAAATGAAATTACTAGAATAAACTTAAGCCTTAGGTTTACATATGAGTGTGTTTATATGTATGTCTTTATCTTTCCCAGATAAATCTAAATGAGGAGAGGGGTACAATGAAAAGAAAAAAGGTATTTTTCTATCTTTTATTTTTCCTCCCTTGTGACTAGCAATAAAAACTCTTAAGAAAAAAGCTGTGTGCTAGCTTTGGGGACAGGAAAGTAGAGAAGGAAACTTTGAGACTCTTTTCAGTTCCCTGAAAGTAATGAGGAGGAACAAGAGAAAAGAAGCACAGAAGAAAAGATGAGTAGAATAAATAAGTGCTCCTAAAGTGGTGTCCTCTAGTTCAATTCCCAATGCTCCCTAAAGCAGTCCTTCTCAACTTGAGATCATTTCACTCTCTATCCAGAATCCTAATATATTTTCACAAAGCCTGCTTGCCTTTCTCTTGATAACAGCTAAGTGCCAGGCATGGTACCAAATGGATTATCTTTTTTCATCATCACAGCAACCTGAGGACTGAGGCTATGCAGAGCTGAGTAACTTGTCCAAGGTCATAAGGCTGGTAAGTGGTAGATTTGATCAGAAACCCAGAATCTCTATTCTATTAGCGATTACACTATATGGATTCTTTCTTGCAGATTCTAAAATCTCACTTTTGTTGGTGCAAGATGAGACTAACATGGAGGGATCTGCTTAAACTTGTCATATATAAGTAGTAAGTATAAATTCATACACATAAAACTGAAGCAGAAAGAGCTCAAGTGCTTTGCTCTAATAGGGGTTAGTTTAAGTATCAAGTATCAGAATAAAGTAGAATGCTTTTTCAAAACTTTTAAAAATGTATCAAGATAGGTGATTGAGATACTGAGAATTCTAGAGCCTACTACTCAAAGTGTGTACCAAACAGCAGCATCTACACTGCAAGTTCGTTAAAATGCAGAATCTCAAGGTCCCACCCCCATACATATTAAATCTTCATTTTAACAAGACTTTCAGAGAATTCATATACACATTAAGTTTGAAAAGCTCTGCTCTATAACTGCGAACCACACGTTGAGTGGCAAAGGTCTGGAAAACAGCCTTAGGATTCTCAAAACATAAACACCACTTATAAATGGAGGACTTTCAAAAATCAACACAACACTATTTTCTGCTGAATTTGTAACTCTCAATGTTTTCCTGCCACCAGCAACTCCAATGTTTTATGGCACTCTTCCCAAAACAAAAAACAAAAACAAAAAAATGGACTCACTTGCTTCTGGGGCCATGATGGCAGAATTTCTAACAGAAGAATTTAGAGCTAGAAGACACTCAAAAAGTATTTGCCTATAGTTACTAGTCTTGAAAGGGCTAATGCATAAAAGAATTTGTTGGAAAAATTCATAAAGATAATGTAGCTCATAAAGTTAAGAAATTGAAGCTACAAATACTTGAGAAGGGAATAGATAGAAATCTGCATTAACAGTGTCAACTTCACTTTAAGATATAATGCACAAGATCACACCAGCTATTTAATACTACCTTTAAAGAACTGTCTAAAGATTTTGAACAGAATATTACATGCCCCAATTTTTTTTTCTTTCACAGATCACGGAGCAAGAAGAGTAGAGTCAAAGTAGGCTAATTATTTTTAAAGCAGTAAAAGGCCAAAATAGCTCAACCCAGTGCTTTCCGATTTATTTTTGAGTACTATATGCTAATTAAAACTTATTTATAAAGAGTTATAATGAAGTATAGTCAGCAAATAGATTAAAATTCCTTTGTAACCTTAAGGCTTGAAGAAACTTTACAATATTTACCATGTGTAATGACTTTAGATTTCTTAAATAATCATCTCAATTAGTAACAAATTGGTCAATCTGTGAGTACTACATTCCCAACTGCATCAAATCACTGGCAGTATTATACTATCAAAAGTTTTAGTGGTTCTTAGTAGGAGCCAGAAATCAAAACTGAATATCATTTTGGCTTCCACTTGTCATATGGCTTCAAAAATTTCCAAAACACCTAAGTAGATTAGGTATTTCTATCTCCTTACATAGTTATTCTGTGTTATAAATTCTAACTATAACTATTTTGAAAGAAAACATCGCCACAAATAATATTGTACAGAAAAATGTGATATAAACCTTCTAAGCTGTTTTTTTTTAATACATTTATTTATATTCATTTTTGGCTGCATTGGGTCTTCGTTGTTGGCGCGGGCTTTCTCTAGTTGTGGCGAGCAGGCGGCTACTCTTCGTTGCGGTGCACAGGCTTCTCACTGCGGTGGCTTCTCTTGTTGCGGAGCACAGGCTCTAGGCGTGTGGGCTTCAGTAACTATGGCAGGCAGGCTCAGTAGTTGTGGCTCGCGGGCTCTAGAGCACAGGCTCAGTAGTTGTGGCGCACGGGCTTAGTTGCTCCGCAGCATGTGAGATCTTCCAGAACCAGGGCTGGAATCTGTGTCCCCAACACTGGCAGGCAGATTCTTAACCACTGCGCCACCAGGGAAGTCCCCTTTTGAGCTATTTAACATCTTTATGCAACCAAGAATGTACTGCTTCATCGGGACTGCCCAGTTAACTTTTAAGAAAACATGATTAAAAGTAGAGTCCAAGTAACCAATTTGAACTAAACATTTAAAGGTAAAGGTTTAAGATGGATAAAGCAATTGACTAAAAGAAAGACTTTAAACCTATTCTAGGATTCCCCCATCTTCTTTGCAACTTTGAGGAAGTTACTTACCCCTCTAAACCTTGTTGAAATTCCATCCATCTCCTCAGTCCAAGCAATTTAATAGAATTAATTGGATCAAACCTCTAAAGAAATTTAGAGTCCCTTTGACCTTATATAAATGGGGTTTTGGAGTCATAAAGACCTGAGTTTGAATCCACATAATAGTTTGAATCTATATACTAGTATACATAAACCAAATACTAGTTTAAGTGACCTTGGGCAAACTACTTAACCCCTTCTTTGCTTTTGCTGTTGTTGTGCAATAACAGCTGTCATACCTCCATGGAGGGGGGAGGGGAGGGAAGTAATAAAGATTATATGAAAACCCCACAAAGCATTCAGAATGGTTTTAATAAGTTCAACTAACCTTCATAAAAAACAGTTTAAAAAAAATTAACTCTTCAAATCTATACTAGATATATAAACATTGCACAAATTATTTTTATCTTTCCTAAAAGATGAACTGATGATTTGAAAGGAAATAACATCTGAGAAAGTTTTTAAAACCAGAGATTATCTAAGCTTTTGTTTAGATTTCTTGTAAAATATCTAAAATACCATCACATAATAATTCTAATGTGTCATTTAATTTCTTTTAAAATTGGTTTCATTTAATTAGTTTCTCAATGAAAAAATCAATGAATTCATTCCTAAGAGTTACTACAGTTATTATTAGTTTTAAAACACTTCAATGTTTACACAACAACTGAGGGTGTTAAAAGCCATCAGATAGTAATGTCTAACCTTTGCAACAAAAGGGTAATACATATTTTACTGAAGTTTTATACAGATTTTTGTTATGGCTAAAAATTAACTGTCTTAAAAAGAGTTAACTGAACCAAAATCAGTGGAGGTAAAGATAATAGCACTAAAACGTAATAAATGATTACAAATACTTTACTACTGGAAATGCATATTTTAATATAAACTTAGCATAAAGTACACCTCTCTTCACAAAAATTTACATTCTACTATCTTTTTATTCAGGTGGAATGGAATAAATTTGAGGGAAATTGACAGGTGTGGGTTAGAGATTTATAGATTCAAAAGAACTTCTCATTTTGTATACACTTGAAGTGAATTATTTGATTTGTCCTCATTGTGTAATAAAAAGTTTTGTGAACTTTGTTTCTCCCCGTTTTTTGTTTATTGGTTTAAAAAGTTAATGTGTACAAACCTAGTCCTGTAGGATTTGTAATTCTTAACAGAGAAACTGCCAAGTACTGTGAATACTTTTACATTTAAGCATTTAATATTTTTTAAAATATTACTGATATGTAAGTCATTATGTTCACTAAAGTCTTTAAAAGTGTAGTCCGAAAGATCATGTTGTTTTTGGCTCAGTTTAAAGGTACTTCTTTCACAAGAGAATTCTTTTACTATTTACAACATAAGAGATTTCTAGAATGGATAACTTAAACCTTCAGTGAAAACTAAAAATCACACACATAAAATAGGGAGTAAAATCCTATTATTAGGACAAATATACTTTTTACAAATTCCTTTAACTGCCTACACTTTCTTAAAAAGTACATAAGACATACTTTTCTTCTGATTAAAATCCAAGTGCCCTTCATTTTCCACAATAATAAGATTACCCACATTGTTATGTTTTTAGGGGGGAGGGGGAGGGGAGGGAAAGGTGAAGAGAAGAAACGTGAAATCCTACCTGACTAAAAAGAAGTATTACCATGATAGTTTTTTCGGTTTGGTTTGGTTTTGGGTTTTGGTTGTGTGTATCTGTGTACACAAACGCTTCTGACCGGGAGGTGTAATGAGTAAAATGACAGTTTATGAAGCCCATAAAGTCTAACTTGGATCAAATTCAAATTCACAAACTCCACAAAAGTCTACAGATTAGCCCTGAGCTACAAAGAATAAAAGTCAAGGCAGCGCCGGCCAACTCTTAAGCCGAGACTGAAAAGCAAACTGTGGTGAACTTAACCTTTACTCACTGTTGCGCTTAGAACTAGGTACACTGTTTCTTAGAGAAGAAAAAACAAAAACCCCAAGTTCCTCATGCCACTGTCTTAAAAAAACAAACAAATAAACAAACAAACCCGAGATAAGGCATTATACTAGGTAACCTGGAAATGGCATTAGGCTGCCACTGACGTGACCCTCACTTTGGCACCAGCACGTACCGTAGTCTGCAAAACCATACCTTCTTCTTCGCTCTTAAGACAGAAGCCCGGTCGGTAAACACATTTTGATTGCAAGGTATCCTACCTGTCAGTGTAATTCTTTGGTCTGGCGGCACCGAGACGACTTGGCTTTCCCGCATTTTCAAAGCGCCCAGATTTGGAGACGTTGCCTGCGCTCGGGTGACTTCGGGGGGTGTCCTACGAGCGCGACCCTTCATTCCCAGAGACAGCAGGCGTCCTTTGTACATCCACTTCTGCAGCTTCTTGACTGTCACCGCGGGCGGTTTGAGGAAGGGGAGCCCCTCCTGTCCGTCTTCTTTGCCGCGGCTTCCCGAGGAGCGGCGGGGGTCCTCGGAGCTGGGAGGCCGGAGGCCGGAGGGCGCCGCGGCCCGGGAGCTGCCTCCGCTCCAGCCGTCCATCCCGTCTCCACGTGGCGGGGGCTCGTCCGTTTCCCCGCGAGCGCCGCACCTGATCCAGCTGTCGCTCCGCCACCGCTGTAAGGAAGGCGGCTTGGCACCCACGCGGAGGCTGTCGAGGCTTCTGCTGCAGGACAGCCGCATCCGAGGAGTCCGCGGGCGGGCTCCCCCCGACTCCCTCGGAGGCGACCGGGGCGGGGACACCTGCTGCCAAGGGCAGTCGCCGCCTCCCCGCTCGCAGTCTCGGGGGCAGGCTCGGCGGGCCGCCGCGCCGCAGGGGTAAGGCGGCTGGTCCGGAGCCCGGGCTCCCGCAGGGCAGCCGCGATCCGCCCTGCCCCGGTCGCCCTGCCGCCTGCCCGAGTCAGGGGGCAGGTCGTGCATGGCCTGGATCAGCAGATAATAGGCCTCTCGCAACTGGGTCTGCAGCCTGCCTGTCTCCAGACGGCCGCCCTCCGCCCCTGGGGAGGAGCCAGCGGCCGGGGGAGGCGGGGGCCACCGCTCCGCCTCCGCCCCCTCAGGCTCCGGCGCGGGCTGGGAGCCGCCGGGCAGGTTCTCGTAGTAGTCGGCGTTGTCCTCCTCGTCCTCTACGCTGCCCTCGGAGCCCGGCGGAGCGTGCAGAGAGGCGCGAGTGAGCCCGCGGCCCGAGGGTGCGGCCTCCTTCCCGCCGCGCGGCCGAGGCCCGAGCGCCCCCGACCTCTCCGGCCGCCCTCCCGCGACCCGCGCCTCAGGACCCCACGCCTGAGGCGACGGCGGCGGTCGCTCCAGGCTCGGCCGGGCTCCGCCGGCGCGCTCGCGTACGGGTCCGCCCGGAGCACCCCCGGCATCTCCCTCGGCAGCCGAAGAGGCCGCCACGGTGGCTGCTGTGGCCACCCGGCGCCCGGGCCCCCCGGCGGCACGAGGACCCCGCCTCCCCCGGAGCCTGGACAGCGTCCTCCTCAAAGGGTCCGTCATCCCCCTCCGCCTCAGCAGCCAGGCTCGCCCCTGGTGCGGGGAGAGCTCGGAGTCCCGCTCGGGAGGAAGCCGCGCTCGCGGCGGCGGCGGCGGCGGCGGCGGCGGCGGCGGCTCCCCATGACCGACACTGGCCCTCGCGGGCTCCTCACATTCTTGGCATAACTCTGCCGCGGGACGGGTGGGGGAGGGCGGCGGCGCCGCAGAGCGCATGCCCCGGAGCCCCGGGCCGCAACGGGGCGCGCGGGCTGCCGGCTGCTGCTCTGCGGGCGTCGGGCGAGGCAAGGCGGAGGGCGGGGAAGGGAGGTGGGTGAGAGCTAAGGAAGAGCGAGGGATGCAGAGAGAACGTACCGAGGGGGGTGGGGGGGTTGCAGTAAGAGTCGAGGCGGGAAAAAGAAAGAGCGGGAAGGTGAGTCTGCGCTGGAGGCTGCAAAGTTCTGGTCGGGGAGACGGAGAAAGGGAAAGTGCCCTCCTGGCTGCCACTCAGTCACCTTCACCACCCTCCGCATTGCCACCACTGCACGAGGCGTGTCCTACAGTGCAAGTCCTAGCTTGAGAGAAAACAAAGATTGTTTTGACGGATAAGGTATGAGTACAGGTGTATCTCACTTAGTGAAGTGTGTTCTAGAAACGTTCCGAATCATTTTAATTTGTACAGGGAGCTGCCCATTTAAAGGAAATTTGCAGAGATTCCTTTTCAATTAGGAAGAACCCTTTTGCCCAAAAAAATCACCACTGGTGTCTCTTTTTAAAGTCTATTTTTCTTTCTTCCTTCCTTCCTTCCTTCCTCCCTCCCTCCCTCCTTCCCTCCCTTCCTTCCTTCCTTCCTGTTAATGCATGCTAACACAAAATTAATTGTAGCATAAACCAAAACTTGTAAAACGGAGGCGCAAATATAGCCTCCCCCATCACCTAACACTTTGTTTTAATTAAAACTGGGTTGAAAAACAATTGGGTTGAAACTGAGAAACAATGTTATTTGGAAATACCAACTCTCTCTCAAAAGCATTAAATTCCATGTTCTGTGTAACATTTGTAAAATACCTTGTGTTGCCACAGAGCAGTGGACCTGTTTGTGGTTGATAAGAATCAATCTGATTTCAGAGTTAAACTTTTTAGCGCTTACGTATTACTAACTCCTAGCACAGTACTTGCACCTAGTAAGTACTCAAGAAATATTTGTTGAATAAACAAATGCTTGCATGAGTAAATTTAACTGACCCTATTTTCAACGATATATATCTATGTAAGTTCCTTTTTTTTTTTTTTCCTATCAGTCAAAGGCTCCAGCCTCTAAATGTGCTTTGACCTATACTTCCTTTATTAGTACCTAGTCTCTGCATCCTGGAATAATTTTACCTGCATCTCTATTTGCAGAAATCTTACCCATCCTCTAAGATTCCATTCAGCTGCCTTCTTCATGAAGTCGTCTCTGATCTTCCACATGGACACGATCTCTCTTCCTCCAAACTCCAATAGTACTTTATTCATACCCACTCAAAGTATGTTTATTATTTTTTTTTACAAGGTGCACCCTATCTCCCATACAAGAAAATTCATAAACTCCTTGAGGGCAGAGACTATTTATACTTGACTTTTATATTCTTCATAGAGTATAACATCTTATACACTGTACATGACGAATAAATATTTTAAAACTAATGTCAACTTTAATTTGAAGGAAGCAAATGACTTTAATTTCCAGTCTATTGCCTGACTCTCCACTAGACCATACTCTATTAGTGTTGTTTTAAAATTCTTTCAGTGATGTGTAAGAACATACTTTGTTAAATAATCTTAATTCTCATCTAGGAAAATACAGTGAAATGTTACACTACAATTTGCATACATTACTATTTATAGTTCTACACTATTTTTATTCTGTGGAACCAAAGCTATTTAATGAATAGTCAAGGCATAAAATTATGTCCCAGTGAAATATTCCCACAGGAAATGGCTGATGATAAAGCTGCCAATGGTGTCTATAAACACAATGTGATCTCTATCTCAGAAATTGTTTCCATTCCAACTCTTGTTTGCAAAATCTTTTTATTCTTTGTAGTTAACACAGTTGTTAAGAATACCATAAGTTGCATATCTATGTTAAAATGAATAGAAAAATGTAAGGTGGTAGGTCTTGGTTGAACTTCATCCTTAATTCAACTTGTCATCTTGTTGAGTTCAGGAACTATAAAACATTGGCCAGTATAAAATATTATGCAATGTTCTAAGAATTATTCAGAACTAAGTCTGATGCTGTACGGCACAACTGAACTTAAAGTTGCTTTAAAGTTGAGAATGTTCTAACGCATAAATTCCCAATTTTTAAGAAATATTTTGGGTCACAACAGCAATGTAGGCAGTCATAGCTATGTGACACTATTTAATGACTTTAGAAATGCAAATCCCACTTTTCTGTATGTGCATAACACTTCAATAAGTTTATAAAAATGTAATTCTAAGAAGACAGTGCCCTCAAAACTTACATATGCACATAATTAAGACAGTGACAAGATATGAACATAAGCTATATTGTGTAAAATCCTTTTTGTGTTTTAACAATTTCTACCCTATTCCCACAGTTACCTCAATTTTCATATGTTTCTAATCAACAGATTCCTATGAAAACTAGGAGGTAGGGATATATTTTCCAGTGTTTGTACTTGCTTCTCAGTGACTTGGAAATCATTCTGATGCCCCATGAATTAACAACTATGTGTCGGCACTATCACAAAAGATAAAATAACTATGGGATAACAAGGCTCTAGTAAGCAGGGAGGTAAACTAGAGATGGGGTCATACTGAATCTAGGAAAAGGCGGGAAAGGCAGGGCAGGTTGAGGCAGAGGGCTAAGTCTAACAGCAGTAGAAGGGAAATATCTAGGTATCTTATGGTTATTTTCTAGGCAATGTAGGGTGCATTTCTCACTGCTACTCAGTCTTCCATTCTTGGTTCTTAGTGGAACCAAAGGCAAGTTTAACTTGGCATTTGCCCAGTTCTCTCTCTCTAAACTGCCTTATGGGGATCCTCTGGTGTAGACCTACATGGTCTGCCATGCAGTTCCATAAATAATTGAATAAAAAGTGCTTCAGCCTAAAGCTGACCACATCACCACTGCCCTGGGAATCAAAGAAGGCATGTCCTCAATAGAGCAATTTTTTCTGTTAGTTTTCTCGTAACTGTCTGGCAATTGGTAATATTCTTCACCTCATCCCACACCTCCAACCAAAGTAATAAATAGGAGGCTTTTGCTAAGTACATATGTATTTTCTAATATTTAGAAATTTATAATGTTTTAGAATATTCACTATTTCAGCTTCTCTTATTACATATTTGGGATATGCAGAGTAGCTTGCTCAAGGTCACCATAATAAGTGAAGAGGAATTCAGACCCCATCTATCTGATTCCAAAACCACTACAGCCCTGGGATATTTCCTTGTATAGAAAAAGAGAACAGACATTTTCTACTTGCACTGACTTGAACCTTTGTTTTCATAAATTATTTAGTTGGTTACCTTTCAGAAAAGATTTTAATATTTTATGAGCTTTTGTGAAATGCAGCTGAACATTGGAAAGCTGCTTGTTCAACATTTGGAATACTTCTCTGTGCAGTCCTCTTCAAGGGTGTTAGAACTAAATCCTATAATGTATTCCCATTTAACTGTAAATATTAAGCCACAATGTGAAACTGCATCCTGTAAATGTCATCTAATTTGAAAAGTAGGACAAGCTACAATTAAATACTTTAAAGACAAAATATATGCATCCTTAAAACCACAGGAGCCCTCAGATAAGCCCCTTGAAAAGCGAACTGGTATAGCCTGTCTTTCCTAAATGACTTGTGCCTCAGGATAACCCATAGTTGAAGGGAATTTGCTCTTTTGCAGAGTTGTCATTCTAATAACAAGATTTGATGCAATATCAACATTTTTTACCTTAAAGAAATAATGGCTCTACGAATGGACCTAGGCAAAAGTCACCAATGACTACTAACATCACAAAGGGAGAAAGAGACAACCTGACACTACACGGCCTCTGATCCAGTACACAACTCCACCTATGATGTATTCTTACCCAAAATGAAACCTGAGTCTGATCAAGATCTGATTACCAATTTCCAGGAATTACAGAGAACAGAGGAACATGTTAGATAGCACCATGGGAATGTGATCACAAAATCCAGACTATGGGAAGCTACAGGTCAAAGGATCCAGTTTCTTCAACATATTAACCAATTGCACTGTATGAACTTTCAAAATTTTAATTGGAATCCAGCTTTTCAAATAGATCCTGGCAACTGTTTTAAAGCAATACAACTTTGAGGGCAGCCAAATAATATACACTGCAGTGATGTCAAGAGAATGTTGAAATCTAGATCCAAGAACTATATAATTCCAAACTGAGTGGTATAATGGAAATGATCTGAAATCTGATAGAACTAGTTCAAATCCTAATTTGGTCAATCATATACCCCAAAACCACTGATCATGGTGAACTTTTGCTCATCTTTGCCAATTCCAGATCAGTATTTCCCCTTCCTTCTAAAATTCCACAGCTCTTTTGAAATACCACCTGCTGCCTCTGCTTTTGTAGTCATCTACCAACTTCCCCTTCATTCCTGCTAACATCTACCTCAATATTTCTCTCCACTATTTTTCTTGTCATCACTCTTGGTGATTTCATTACTCACAGAAAGGATCCACCCAATACCCTGGCCTATTGTTTTCTTGAACTTCTCTAATAATCTTGTCCTTCATCCACTTCAGCCACCCAGTCCTAGAGTCATATATTAGACTTTGTCATAACCAATAACTGCAAACTCTTCAGACACCACTTCCTGTTTTCCAGCTCACTCCCTATAGCACTGCCTGCGACAATACTTTGATCCCACTATCCCTCCAGTCTATCACTCCCCTTCTTGCTTTCCCAGTTTAGATTGCATGGTCTTCGTATAATCAGTCCCTAGCATACATCCTCAACTCTTTTGTCCCTCTTTCCCATTGTCCTACTCATTTGGCAAAACCCCAATCCCTGGTTAAAACTAACTTTCCCACATACTTTGCACTGATACTTGAATGGCTTAATGTGACTGGAGAAAAACATCACAGACTTCAAGTGGTTCCTGGATGCTGCC